GATGATAAGAGATCTTGATGAGTTCCTCGCTCTCCCTTGGGGAAGGACCTCCTTCCAAAGTCTAGCCAATCATTTACTTCAAAAGGATGCAGTCTCACTAGCGCAAGATTCCTTTGCCCTGAAGGGTTATGTTGAAGCCATTCAACTTGTGCTCATCGCCGCTGTTCCAGACTTGAAAGAAGAGGTGACACAGTCTGCCTCTGTGGTTGTTGCTCTTTCCGAAAGCGAGGGTGAGATGGATGCTGAAGAGGAAGCACCGCATGTAGCTGAGGAAGGGGAGGCAGAAGACTTGTCTAAATCCCAGAAATTCGTTGTCAGACTGCGCAATGCGAGAGAACTGAACACAGAGTGCCAGGTTAGTGTCAGGAAAAAGTAGTGATTTCGGATAAAACATTTGTTTACAGTTAATACGCGGAATACCGTTGAATAATTATCGCTTTATATTACTGTACATATGCTCACCCATCTGTTAAGCATCAGCAAATGATCTTTGATTTGTATACATATCGTCCAAATAAGTCGTGAATTGAAAATCCTTGCCTGAAAATATAGAAATTAACCGTAAATATTATGTTTACCTGGTATCATGAATTTTGCCTGATAAACTCATTATTGCCAGCAAACTTTAACGTCTATTTTATTAATTTTGAGTAGGTGGCTGTTAGATCAATACTGAGCGACCCTGACGAGGAGTGGTATCTACAACATGACTTCTCCTGGCCCGACGAGGAAGATGATCCCACCGTCGATAATTTGGTGAAGCTCATCAACGAAGGGTTCGAATTTGAAAACAAGATGTTCAAGGGAGGTATAACATCTACAGACCTTCAGAAGCTAAGGGGGCATAAACAGAAGGGTAAACAGCCAAAACACAAACAAGTTCCAGCAGATGTTGGTGATCAATCCGAGGTTCCGCAACCGCGGCAAATTGATGTTGATCCGATTGCCAACCTCGTCTCAGGGAAGATTCAGGAAGAACTTGCCTCAGTTGAGTCTCGCATAGCTAGGGCCGTCGACCTAAGATTACAGTCCCAAATGAAGGCTATGGAGACAAGAATAACCAAATGTGTTGTAGACAACATCCACGCGATGAAAAGGGGAGTTATAAAGGCTATTATAGATTACCTGAAGAAGACAACATCTTCAACGCCGAGCATTTCAGATGTCCCACAACAACATCACACAAACACAGCAAGCCCTTCTTTGAGTGGTCATGGTGAGGCGCCTGAAAAGGTACTCCCTGAACAGATGGCTGTGGACGGTCCTCAACCTCTTGTAAACCAGTCCATCAGGCGTATTTTAGATGACCTACAAGCATCATCACACAATCAAGAGGTTTGCTAATTGTTATCTTCATTTACTTAATTTACTGATACCCCTATGAACATACCAAACATTTTATGATATCAGGTGAATGTAGAAGGGAATGTCTCTCAGCAAGATCACAACACAAAAGCCCCTACAGAGCACGAGAGAACAGAGATTCTGAACACGGAGGTTTTCTGCTAAACCCTCTCATTACCGCTAATATATATTTTTCCCGTAATTTTGTTTTTTTGCCGTCTACACAGAATTATATTTTCTTATTATTTTTCCTGACGTAGGATGCTGGTAATAAATCTCCCTCCAACCAAGAAGCCGAATCAACATCGGGCAAGACAATCCCTGCTGTCTCAACAAGTCCATCCATGGTATTACTTATCCCCAAGTTATAAAAAACATTTACACCAACCTAAGCTTCTAATCTCAACATTAATACAGGTTGATCCTTCTGGAAATGTCAATAATCAGACACTCAAAGACCCCACTTCTACGGATCCCACTGACGAAGAAGCCATCTCTGATAAGGTTTCCCGGAAAATATTTAGTTATCGTCTACTAAATTTTTTACCCGTAAAGAATAATGTTTACATATAACAATTTTGTTACCCGTTATATGTGACCAGTTTAAACCTCATCTTTCCAGGAATTGGAGGAATGGGCAATGACGCTGGCGACTGCTATGGGAAGAAGTACCTCAGAACAAATACAGGTAATGAATCATGTACTAATATTGATATCCTTTTCTCAAATATAATTGTATATGATCTTACATTGATTTTACATTGTCATAGGGGGAATCATCTCAGATGGATATTGATCCTCCATCTTTTTCNGGGCAATGACGCTGGCGACTGCTATGGGAAGAAGTACCTCAGAACAAATACAGGTAATGAATCATGTACTAATATTGATATCCTTTTCTCAAATATAATTGTATATGATCTTACATTGATTTTACATTGTCATAGGGGGAATCATCTCAGATGGATATTGATCCTCCATCTTTTTCTATTGGCCTCACCCAATTAGAGGAATCAGATCGTGTTCTTCAGCCTGCTCCACTTACTGTTGTGCTACCTCCCACTGGGCAATCATCTGGCACAGTGGACACACAAAGAGCCCAAAGACAAACAATCCCCCCAACAGCGTTACAAGACTATGAACTAGACCCCAAGAGTAAGCCTGGATTCCGCGTCCTTCCAGACCTTCACAAATTGTTCGACAAGATGAGGCAGCTTATTTCACCCACTGGGTTAGTGTAGTTTTAATATTCACTGGAAATATTAATATTACCTGTCATCATTTTATTTAGCCGAAAATAAATTGTTTTCCCATGTTTAATTTTGCATCTAGGTTCATTCACTTGGATGGTCCATCAGCTATCACTGGTGCCGAGTTTCTTGACATTGCTTTTAGGAAAACTAGAATGTCTCAACTGGTAACACACAAATCTTAAACTTCCATCTACATATTAAATTATACTCATGTATACCAACATTATATTTCCGCAGACAGTGAACACTGTAATGCGCTTCCTGGCTGCTGAGCACGAAATTCCCGGCAAGTCTATCAAAGTCTTCGACATGAGCCTCCCTACTGCTATTAAAAACATCTACCCAAGGTTCGTCAAGATGGGTGTGCAGTTGCGACCGAAATTTAAGTTCACAGATGATGTGATTCAGCGTGTCAGAGAAAACCGGGTAGACTATATCTACTTCCCTCTATATGTTCAGCCGTTTCACTGGATGGCGGTTGTTGTTGACATAAAAGCGTGGGATATACAAGTTCTTGATTGCAACGTGACCTTGAAGACAGAGGCTATGATCAAGAAGGAGGTCAATCCAATTGCCAACATGCTTCCCTATATAATCAAAGCATGGGATCCTGAATCTAGCGCTGATAACATCAAGCCATTCACCGTCAGTAGGCCTAAGGTACTTCCACAGGTATTTAATTTCAAACTCTTTTCCAAAAATTATTCATTTTACTGTAAACCTTTTTTTACCCCGTTAAGAAAACTAATTCCG